TGAAGAAGAAAATTGTTGAAATTTTACATCCAACTGAAAAATGTATACCCATTTGTAATTCTGAAGCAAGAAGAAGAAAAGGATAGATGAGGAAGAATACAACTGAAAAAAAAAAAAAAAAAAAAAAAAAAAAAAAAAAAAAAAAAAAAAAAAAATGTTGACATTTATTACATCCTACTGAAAAACGTACATTTGTAATTCTGATGCAGATTTTTATAAATGAGGAACTTGGCATGAGAAGGCCTAAGCACCACTTTGGGAATAAGTTATCCCTCAGCAAGTTTAGACTTTATGCTAGCTGACAACCTGTAACATAGTCAAACTAATATCTCTAGCAATCTCTTATTAACCCATTCGCGACGGGTGTCACGTATAGGTGACATGCCCACTGTGAGTTTACTTATTTATTTGTTTTTACACATAGTTGGCTACACTTGTACTTGTACTGCCTGTCTCGTCCGTTTACCCTTTTCTTTAATTTACGAAAATATGTGTAGAGACATTTCACAAAAAATATTAAAAACATGAGCATAGCATTTTCCCCATTTTTTATTCATTTTTACCCGTCGCAAATGGGTTAACCCAATGCTGACAACAGATATTACCCATCGCAAATGGGTTAACCCAATGCTGACAACAGATATGTTGCATACACCGCCTCTCAGACTGCGGAAAGAAGAGATTGAACTGTCTGATTTGACAGTCTAAAGTGATCCAGCAACTTTTCACATCCATCCTTTACAAAAATCATGTGTGATGGGTTTTATACCATTTACAAAGAAAAAGTCACTGAAAGAGTCCAACATTTGTTTCACATGTATCTGGAGATAGGAAATGGACATCCATTATTTAAAACTTGTAGAGTACTCCGAAAATGAGATTTTTCTTATAGTAAGATTTTAACCCAATGGTGACGGGTGAAAAAAAAACTAAAAAAAAAAAAACTATACTCTGGCGATCAATGGCAGCGCACCGACTTTGAGCGCGGGAATTCAGTATATCAGGCCAAATCACCGGCTTGCCGCGCTTTGATGCGCCGTGGCGGCTTACAGCCGCACGCCACATTTTGAGCGGTTTGTTTTCACGCCTCTTGGCATCACCCGTTGTGAAGGGGTTAATAGAATACAAGATGCTCTCTGTGATAACTCTTGATTTCTTCAGCAGTGACGTGACTACAGTAGGCATAAGTTACACCTCCCAATGTGGCCTTATGAGGTTAAGGAGCAGAGCAGGATATGGAGATCAGATTTCCATACTTCCACTATAGCTAGTTTATCCCTACTGTAGCAGGAACTTTTGTAAGACACATTTTAACTTAGCACAGCTTGAGTTGTTGCTTACACTACAAGAAGTGGAATAACAATCAAAATGTACATAAATGAGCTGATAACCTGTTTGCTTAACCATATCTGTTATAATGTGAAGCAAATAACCAGCAGAAGTAATCAGGAGACTCAACGTTTGAGATCCCAATATCTTTTTGGACGGATTTCAGAAAAGTTTTTAAAAATACACCTACTAATCAGAAGCGAAATCAATACACCCAAAATGTAAAATTAAGAAATTACATAAGACTCACAAGACAATAGGAATGATGGTGATAAATTTACGGGTAGTGGTGAACTGTTGGCCATAGTCAATCTGTTCCCAAGCAGTCATGAGGCGGGCCTTCCCCTGGTCCAGCAGCTGCCAAGGGGTGCCCTTTATCTGATGCAGGAACAGGTAGTTGGCCTGTAACATGTCATATTTAATTATTTTTGTGTCTAACATATAATAATGATGAAGAAAAAAAGCAGTGCAAGTATATGTCTGAGTACATATATATCTATTATATATCAATATCATTCTGAAATCACTAACATGCAGACATTCAAAAAGTTACCTAACTTCTACGAAAAGTATAGGTTTCTACAAATGCAGGCTATCCATTCTATCCTGATATGAGACACTCACCAGGTTGTGTATGACATTGGTAAGAGTCCATGCCGTAGGTATTGACAGAATGGGTATGGAAAGGAGGAAGAGATGCAGAGCTAGCACTCCAGCAAGGTAGGAGAGCCATGCTCCACGGCTGCTGTGCCATGACGAGTTGGGGTTGACCTCTCCGTGACCACCTGACAACATCTTTGCTTCACACCTTTCACCTGTAACAGGATTATTTACTGAATGCACTTCTTTTAGCAGCATAAAAAAGAACATACTTAACCCCTTAATGATGGGTGAAGAATTTTTTTTTTTTAGAAACTCTACGCTCTGGAGATCAATGGCAAGGCACCGACTTTGAGCGTGGGAGTTCGGTACATCAAGCCGAACCCCCAACTCATAGTGCTTTGGCCCTTTGCCACAGCGTATAGCCACACTCCACAGATCAAGTGGTTTATTATGATACCTAAACACGTGACCCGGCAGGAAGGGGTTAAAAGAGGCCACATCAAAAAATAATATGATTATGTACTTACAGCATAACCTAAACCACACACATTCTGGCAAATTTTTTTGTAAATATAGGAAGTCCATAACTGTAGTAACCAAATCTCACAACTGGTCCCTAGGATCAACATCATTACATCATTGCTCAAGGCATTCTGGCGAGCAAAGCTAAAACAAGATGAAGTAGCATTTGCATTGGTTGGTCAAAATGCAATACACTTTATATTTGGTTGTTCTTCAATCAAAAGTTTTTATATGTGCAATTTGTTGCTGGATGTGTTACAGAAGAAAGATTTCGGAAGCAGTCAATCTATTGATTCTATATCCCATTATTATATGGTGCTTTGTATATCAACATCCATAACCTTCCCAATTCTAGTTCAAGAATATGGAAGGAGAAAGGAAATGCTTTCTAATATTATGACTATCGTGATTATTACTGATATTGTTATACTGAAAATAATAATCACAATAATAGTATTGTTACAAATATGATAATAATATTCAATATAAAAACTTTTTCTTAAGTTTAAAAGGATGGAGAAAACTGGCAAGGTAAGGTAGGCCTTGTAACTGACTTCTTAGCATCTAAGTGCTTGTAGAGCCATGCATGTGTAAAAAAAAATGGATAAATATATAAAGAAATAAATATAAAGTGTAAAATATTTAAGTGATCAATGCATATATATCCATTAACTTTTTGTCTTCTTTTTGGCTTGTATCCTGCATTTTCTGTATATTCCCCTAATTACATATACTTTCCCAACCCTGTATTTCTAAATGCCTATCCATAGCACTATTTCTACAACACTGTCAACCATGGGTGAAAGAAGAAGCCCTTTATGGATATAATAAATCTTAATAGCTTATAACAAAAAGGAAAATTCTGATGCAGTACCTGTCAACAACAAAAAGTCTATCACCATTGAAAACCTATCACTATCTCTCAAAAAAGAAAAACTCATAATTAGCCATTCTATCCCTTGAAAATTATATTCCTTGGTACATAAAATCACTGTGAACAATAAAAACAAATGTTATTTGGCAATGACACTGTCAATAAAAACAATAACTTGACAAATAATCAATATGAAAGTATTTATGAGACAAAGAAAGACTGCCAACAAGATATTCGTCAGAACAAAGACTCTGACAACGAAAAAAATACCTATCATATGCCAAACACTGGCTTGTCAACATGAAAATACGTATCATATGCCAAACACTGGCTTGTCAACACGAAAATACTCGTCATATGCCAAACACAACCTCTGTCAACAAAAGAGAAATCAATTATCCGTCAACTAAAGAGAAATGAATTATCAGTCAACCAAAGAGAAATGAATTATCAGTCAACAAAAGAGGAATTAATTATCTGTCAACAAAAAAGTCTCCCTCTTAGTCACCGAGGCATGTTTTATGAGAGGAATATAAGGCGCTTCTCACACTCAGGCAAGGGAAGCACGGAACGCACGTCGCCCCGGGTGTTCAGCTCCTGCCAGGCGCGAGGTGGTGGGCGGCCCAGAAACAGCGACGAGGGAAGAAAAGGCGAGAGAAAACAGGGCGTCGAGGGCAGAAAGGGCGAGAAAACAGGGCGTCGAGGGCAGAAAAGGCGAGAAAACAGGGCGTCGATTTCCCTTACTTTTCCCTTTCCTGGGGACGAGGAAGGCGAGGTTATAGATGGATTGATATATACATTGTTGTTGGGTCAGGATAAGGAGTTGGTTGGGTCACGATAAGGGTTTGGATCCTTTGTGTTCACTTCGTATGGAGGATGTGGAGGATATTTTCTCGAGTGTTTCTTAAATGTAAGGTGTTTTTTGAAGATTAGGGAGTGTTGTTGGATTAATGCATGGACTTAGGGTTATTGCCATGTACAGATGTATTGGTATCATTGCATAATTGGAGAAACTAAACCTTGATTCATTTATTGACAAGTATAAGGGTTTGGATCGCCCTGGGCCCCCCTCTCCTTGGCCTTATTCCTCACACATGCCAATTGAAAACATCAAGTTGTCGTTCGTCATTCTTGTGAATTTTGCTTCTTTCGCCTCTGATTCCCGCCATATTTGCTTGGAATATTTCCCTCAGCGCCCGGACAAGGCACACGAGGGGCAGCGAGGCGTTTTGAGGAAGACACACACACGGAATGTCCCCGTTTGTTCGATCGCCGTGACGAACGTGCGATGCAGATTTCATTTTCGAATCGCGCCGGACATGTATAAATATCTCGCTTAGGCGGGGATCGACGCAGCTCCTTCCGGCCGGCGTGTGACCCGACCAAGTGTAGGGCAGGGGATCATCCGCCAGGGATTCGGAGGCCGACCCCCCGGCGAAGTCCCTCAGGAGCGGAATCGGACGCGCCCTCGCCCCGCACGGCCCTTCGTCCTCCCTTCTTCCTTGGCCGCGTCCTTCGCCTCCGCCTCCGTCTGCGCCCGATTTCTTCCCCGGACATGGCCTGGCGGGGACCCCTCGCGGCCACGGCGTGCAGATGACCTGGGTGCCCATCGGAGTACGCTCGAGTCGCGGCCGGAGTCCCCGAGGAGACTGTTATGAGGACGTAGAGGAGGATGATGTCTTCCCCGAGGGCGCCGCCAGCCTTTGTGAGCAGTGAGAGCGTCTCGAACGGACAGAGAAAAAGGCTTTCCTCGGGCTCGCCGGACCGCCCGCACCTGCAGAAGAAGGTCTGCCGACAGAGCGACATCATGGAGAGCCAGAAGGTAGCCAACTTCTCCTCCGTGGCCGCGCCCAACGGCGTCAGCAAGCAGCCCTCGGGCCTGGGCAAGAAGCAGGGCGCCGAGAAGAAGGTGCTCGCCATCAAGAACTTCAAAGGTAAGGCTCTGCTCGGCTGCGGCCTGGGGGGGTGGGAGGGCACATGTGCTCTGGCCCTGCAGGGGACCAGGGGCATCGCCTCGCCGCCTGCCTCTGGCTTGGGGTACGGCGGCTGGGGGGCCCCTTTCCTCTTTCCTCTCCCTTTTTTTTTACTTTCTCTTTCCATTTTGCTCATGCTTTCCCCCCTGTTTGCTCATTACTAAGAACTGCAAAGGAATTCTCTCGCCTTGTCTGCTGTCACTCCATTTCACTGTCATCATCTGCTGCCACGAGAGTGCCCGCTTGCGTGCCTTTGCCAGTCACCAAAGGCATGTTAAGGCAGAGTAGGGTTGGCACCCACAATGTTGCAGACAATCTCCATCCTTAGTGCAAGAGGCAGTAGTGTTTCATGTCGTGCAGAGGTCACCTTGTTATGTAATTCAGTTAAGATTATAAAAGTAGGTTTTAGTAAATAATAGTGATAGTGTCATGGGAAAGAGTGTATGAAATTGATATAATATGCTGTTCTACCGACAATTTGCCACAAAATGAAAATTGGAAAGAGAAACTATCGTTGCGGAACACAAACCGAGGTGCATTTTGAGGGCAGTAACGTCTGGATTTAACTTGTCCTTTGGCATGTTTGGAAAGGGTTTGTTGTAGTGTTTTGCAGGTGTTTGTTGATCTTCAAAAAGTTTCTGTGATGTACTGATATGTTTACGGGAAGTCCGTGCTTGCTGAGATACAGACATACATGAAAAGTTCCAGTTGTCCATTTTTGTGAATCAAACAAACACACCATGGGTTTCATGACTGAATTTTCTTCTCAAAATCATATTTGCTGCCTTCTGTCTACAGCCATGAATGGTGCTGTTATCTTTTGATAGAATACACACAATCCCAAGTCAATCACCACAGCCTACTCACCTTGGGCATGCTCAGGCAAGGACCAGCAATTTTCTTTCATGTATATTTTGGCAAGAAAGACCAGGATTGGTTCCTGATTGGATAATGCCTCAAAGGAAGTTATACAACCTCTGTCTTGCTAGAATATACAGGCAAATATTTGTTAGCCTTTTACTGGCGAATTATCAGACGTGAAGATCATCGTAGTCCCATGTTGCAGGCATGTTAGTCAGTGTTACCTAAGATTTTAGACCATCCATCACAGATCACAGCAAGTTTCAAGTAGATTTTATATATATAGTACATAGAAATGTAAGCTTACACATTAGCATCGCTAGCTTTGTTTGTGCTCCTTTATTAGATCCATATTCAAGCTGTTGAAATAAAAGTTTGGTGGGGAGGGTGAATTTTGGTTATGGCTGTGGTGTGGAAACCATCGTAAGACAAGTGCCAGTCAGTACTGCTGAACGATATAAAAAAGTTTCTAACTATCCATTATGTCCATTAACTATGTGTTTCTATGTGTTCCATGTTGTGAGGAATTGATACCCTGATGCCTATAGAAATCTGTCAGTCTTGTCTTATTGCAACCTTTGCTATGAAATTAGCTTTTTATAACTGTTATGTCCAACCAGGAAGTCTACAGTTTATAAAGTTATTCATCAGGAAACTGGTGTTGTAAGCTAGTTCAGGGAATGGAGGCCATACCAGGATGTTATACACATCATTCAAGTGACCTTGACCTTTACTTTGTTTCTAAAGGTTTCACAATCTTGTCATAATCATAAATTTCTCTCCTCTTTGTGTAATTTCATATCTAAGGATGTGAGCTAAGTTACTCTCTTTGATAGAGCCTGATTTTTGTTCAAGATAAGGGCAATAGATTCTTAGGTAATAATGTAGTCAGAAGTCAGCTCCAGTTACAATCATCAAGGGAAGCTATGGCTGTTATGCTAATGTCTATAGGTCAGATGTGAAAGTATAAGACTGATGCTAAACATAGAGTCCATGCTAGTGTAAACAAACATATGGTCATTAGTCAGTGTGTCTGAAGTCTTAAAATTTATCTCATTGATCATTTTGTGTTTGATCTAGCTGGAAATGGTACTGAACATTTTACTGTATCTAGAAGAATGAATGGAAGATGAGCAATGTTAGAGTAAATAGTGCCCCACTTTACTGACAAATGGTAACCCTACTCATTTCAACCCCCTCTCCCCATGAGATATATGAGAGGCAGGAAATGTTATTAACTACTTTTTCTGATACACCATAACCTCTACTCAGGCATACCCAGCCCCTTGAGGTATGTGAGAACCATAATTGATTACACTGAAGCCTAGGTATCACAGT